CCTTGCAATGAGCCTGCAGGCCAGGCAGCCCGAGGGTGATATGAAGGAGCAGAAAGCCTTTGGAGTTGGACAGAGCCAGCTGAATCCTCACTTAGAAACCACGTTCAAACCTCTCCTCCTCTCTGTGGCTGTCCCATCGTTTCCGGATTAATTAGGTCTACTCCTCTCACAGCTGCCGTGCAGTTCGCTGATAGAGCAGGCAGATACGCCCAGGGTGCTGGCCCGTGAATTGCACGTTCTCCTTGCCGGTGTATTTTCTCCCCCACATGAGAACTGTGTCTCCTGGCTTGGCGAGCCCAGCTGCCAGCTTCACGACCTGGCGATGTGGTAATTGAGAAGGAAATGAGTGGTAGGAAGCAAATGCTGTGTTAATAAAACCGCTATCTGTGAATGGCCCCAAGGGGAGGCTGGAGAGAGGCTCAGAAGGGAGCACGGGAGTGAGGTTTACTCTCCCAAGCATCGAAGCGGAGCTGCTGGAATTGATGAACATCGTGAGGTGTACGTGGCCTTGCCTTCATTTAGGGCCTGGAGATTCACTGATGAACTGGCCCTCAGAGTCAACGCTCAGTGGACTTGACTTTTAGTGGAGGGAACGGAGGGAGTAAATTGACAAGTGAAGATACCAAGGGTAATTCCAGCCGGTGAGGGTAGCCTGGAGGAACTACGCTGGGATGAAGAGATTGGTTTCGGGCCATATCAGCCAGGCTTTATCCAGGAAAGCAGAAACCTCTAGTTATTTCAACAGGGAGAATTTAATAAACAGAATTAGTTACTCAGCTGAGGGCAGTCCCGAGAGCTGAACCGCGTGGTCAGTACCAGGCTCGCACAGTAGAGCGGTGCAGAGGAGAGGCAGGGAGCTGTCAGTGCCTCTTGGCTGCCGGGAAGGAAAGGGGTTGGGTTTTCAAAGCCCAGAGGCCAGAACCGTTCGGAAGCCAGCGGGACAGGCGAGGAGGGACACTGCCCACAGCCCTGGTGGAGCAGGGGAGCCGGGCGTGGAACATCTTCAAGCCCTAACCGCGCCTCCCCGCGCGGATGTGATGTCTGCAGAGGCCTCCCAGGTCCGGCCCCAGACTGTGCGTCGGGGTTGAGAGTCAGGAGCCGCTTCTCAGGGTCACCCTTGGGGATGAGGGGGCGTCTCTGGCGGCCTGCTGGGAGGAGGCCCCGCAGACCTGGGCTCCTGCCTGAGCTGGAGAAGCCACCGGGCTGGGGAGTGGCCTGAGCCCTCACCCTAGGGGTGACAGCAGCCGTCACTTTCCAGCGTGGCGGGCGGTGGAGGTGAAAGGGGTGATTTCCGGCCTCTGTTCGCAGCCTCTCAAGGTTGCAGGCTGCAGGTCCCGTGAGTCCTGGCTGAGGCCCGTGTCTGGATCTGCCTTGTGTCAAGCTCAGCAGAGCTGTCCAGACACTCTGCCGGGTCCCAGATGCCGAGAGCTGCTTCATCCCTGGAGGTCATGGCCCTCAGCTCTCTTTGGGGCGTCCGGGGGCCACCTGCGTCACTGTCCCGAGTCAGCATTGGCTCCTTGTGCCCTCTATGAAGTGAATCCTCGTTGTGGCTCACACGGCGGGCGGAAGGGATGGGAAGCTGTCCCTGGCTGTGATCTCGGGCCCCTCCTTCCATCATGGGGAAGCCCCTGGGAAACTGCAGCCCCAGGAGGGCCTCATTTCCAGCCTGCCCATGGCCCCTCAGTCCACCTGTTGTGGGTCCGCCTGCTGTGGGACGGGCGAAGCCTGGGACGCCCGGGATGAGAGGCGGTGTCAGCTGCTCAGGCCGTGGACACGCATTTCCGGGACGTGATCTCGGGCTTCGCAGGCTGCTGCTAGGTGACATTTGTTGCAGGCTGGCTCGAGGACAGAGGAGGCTCTGACGGCTGATGTTTACGGCGCCCCATAGAAGCTTTCAGACAAAATTTGTGTTGCATTTTGAGTGAGTTATGGCGGGGCAGGAGTGTAAACCTCACCCTGCCGTTTTGGATGAAACACAGGCTCTGGCTGCAATAAAGACAGGAGGTGCAGCCTTAAATTTCCCAGAGATCAGTTTTTGAGGGTGTAAAATAGCTACTTAAAAGATAAAGAAAGGGCTGAGCCAGTGCACAATGAAATCAGTGTGGATGGAAGTGTGCATTTATCTGTTTCCTTTTCTGCATCTGGAAGTAAATCCAGATTCGAGCCTCACCTTGGGCCTGACCTAAATTTAAGGAAGGTAGAAGCCGAGCCTCTGGTTCCCAGACCTGCTGGGCTGTGTGCCCGACGAGCCCGCTGCAGGGCACCATCATTGCGCTGGGGGCAGATGCCCGGCGACTGGCCCTGTTGCCATCACTGCATGGCAAATCCTCCTGGAATTTGACTTCCTGGCCTGGAGACGGGAAAGAAACCAACAAAAACGCATCTGCCTGTCACCGGGAAGCCCCCTGCATCGCCGCACTGCCAAGGTGCAGGGTGTCCCCTGGCGGTGGCGGCTGCTGAAACTCCTTTCGATGAGGCGAATCCCTCCAAGTCGTAGTCTGTCTTTCTCTATCCGTGACTCCTAATCCTGCCCAGCACACACAGCTACATTTTAGAGGAAGCTCAGGGCTGTGTGAAGGGAGGAATGTCTTTTACATAGGTATGTGTGTGTGTAAGCAGATTTGAAATAATTGAAACAACATTTATTTTATTTTTTTGGTACCGGTGATCGAACACAGGACCTTGCACTTGTGAGGCAGGTGGTGGAACCACTGAGCTACATCCCCGGCCCTGAGACAACATTTGGATGTTCTCTTTTTCAGTGAAATTGAAGTTTTGGTGGTGGTTTAATTTTGTACATATGGAATGGCTTTAATAATTTATTTATTGATTTACCTTTTTTTTTGCTAGTACTGGGAAGGGCTTTCACACTGAACTGCTTCCTATCCCTTTATATTCTATTCTGAGACAAGGTCTTGCTAAGTCACTGAGTTGCCCAGGCTGGGCTTGAACCTGCGATCCTCCTGCCTCAGCCGCCCAGTGTGCTGGAATTACAGGCGTGCGCCACTGTAGGCAATCTAACCGTGGTCTTTAGCCTAATCCAGCAAACATATTGCATGTAGAAACTATGCTTGTGATGAACATAGCTTCCAGACCGCCTGCTCGGGGTGTCAGGCCAGCCGGGCCCACGGAGTGGTGTCTGTTGCCTTTCTGGTCCCCTGTGGGGCCACACATGCGACCTGCTGTTAGGCCCCATTTGCCCTCGTGTGGGCTGGAAGGACCAGGTGGCAGTGGCAGAGGTTTATTTCTGGGTGAGAGGAAAACTTCCCCGCCTGTGCCTGGCCTGGCTCTCTGTCCTGTTCGCGTCTGTGTGTGAACAGCTGGCTGCCTCTGTGCTGTCTGGGTTCCCATTTGAAAGACCCGCAGATGACGGAACAAGACAGCATACCTGTGTGGCGTGTGGGTGTTAAATGCTGCTTTTTTTTTGAACCTGGAAAGCACTAAGCTACAGTATCTCCAGCCCTTTTTATTTTATTTCATTTTATGTATTTATGTTTTTAAAACTTTGGAACAAGGTCTTGCTAAGTTGTCCAGGCTGTCCTGCAACTTGCAACCCTCCAGCCTCAGCCTCCCCAGTGGCTGGGATTACAGGTGTGTGCCACCACCCCCACCTATATATTACATATTTCAATGAACAAGAAAATACTTTATTGTTATAACACATTGAAGGTAGAAAATAAATAGTCCAAAGTAAAAATCTTTTTCTTTGGAGCTTCATAGACACACAAACAGAAATACATAATACACGCACATTTACATAGAATCTTGGCATCTTACCCAAATAGGCTCATACATGACTGTCTTGTTACCTGTTGCTGTAACTGATTACCTGAGATGGAGTGGTTTATAAAGAACAGAGGTTTGTTCGGGCTCACGGTTCTGGAGGGCACAGTGTAGTACCTGGCAGAGCCCATTTTCCAGGGCTCTATCCCCGCAACCCACCTCCCCGGGGGCAGCACTGAGGGATCATGGTTCTATGCGTGGACTCCCAGGGACACAGTCCCCATAATGCACTCCTAGTGTGGTTTAGATTTCGTGACATTTTGTGTACGTCCTCCACAGCCGTGACGCTGCGTCCACATTTCAGTGCCCCCCCTCTAGCTTCTTTTATTTTTTTTTTATAGCTGTCTACTGTTTTGCTGTACAAATGAATACTTTAAATCTCCTTTTGGTCCTTTTAGTATGGATTAAAATCATATAGCGGGTAAATCTTGAGTACTTGTGTTTGCCCACTACCTATTCTGAGCATTTTCTATTATTAATCCCTTAATCTTTACAGCACCCCAGTAAGTAGCATTTGGACACTCACATCCTGCTTCCTGTGGGGACGTGTGAAGCACAGCGGGGTTGGGTCACTTGCTGCAGGTCGCTCCGCAAAGCCAGGATCCGGTCCTGGGGTGGACTCTCAGGGTTGGCTGCTCATCATTTCACAGGGACTGTGGAAGGTGTGGCCTCAGGGTCAGCTTGTTCAGTACTCAGAGGGGTGTGGAGCTGTCCACGTGAGGTGGAAGATCAGGAATCTCCGTTTCAGGCCGCAGGAGGGTGTGGCTGCAGCCTGGCAGGCGGCTGTGCTCAGTGGGGGACCATGAGAGAGGCCACAAGCCAGAGGTTGGAGCTCAGCGAGAACGGGAGGGAGGCGGCAGGGTGGTGTCCCCAGCTGTCCAGGCAGCTTTCAGCCCCAGGGCTCCTTCGCCCCTGCTCTGGTCCTTTGTCCTCGTGTGTATCCTTATTTGGGGTGGGGCAGGGTCTCACTTTGTAGCCCAGGCTGACTTGAGCGTGCAGCGACCCTCCCGCCTCAGCCTTCTGCATGTGGGATTGCTGTGTGTACTCCACCCCCAGGCTGGCACTCTGGCGATTTGGAGATCTTGCAGAACACACGTTCTGCAGCCAGGGGACTTTGGCCACGTGTGACCTCCAGCCGGAGGGGTGGGCGGGTGGTTTGCAGTGGGCAGTGTGCCCTGAAGAGGGCATTTATTCTTCCTCTGTTTCCTCCCATGCAGTGACCGAGAGCCGCGGTGGTGTGGACGGCGTGCAGAGGTTCTCCTCGCTGCCCGCCTACCTCCCTGCTGACTTCCGCGTCGTGGGTGCCGACCAGGCCTTCTTCCTGAAGGAAGCTGACCAGGACCTCACACGGAACTCCAGTCTGCAGGCCCGGGCCGAGCCGCTGTTCGTCTACCGAGCCGGCGCACCGCCGGCCGTCAATGCCAGCTACGGCCCGTTCTGGGCAGAGCAGGTGGTCCCCGCCGAGCTCCTGCTGATGCCTGCACGTTTCGGGAGGCTGGAGAAGTTCCCCTTCAACTGGAAGCTGAAGTCCCACATCCTGGACAGCTCCATCTACTCCAACAGGCCCAAGGTGCAGACCCTGTTCTACATCAGCGGCATGGGCTGGGACGACGGCGACCCCGGCCAGCAGCTCCCCTGCGTCAAGATGTTCGCCTTCCCGGAGGCCAGGGAGGTGGCGGCCAGCTGCAGGCTGCAGGGCGCCCCGGGGCTGTGCGTGGCAGAGCTGGAGCTGCTGCCCGAGTGGTTCAGCTCGGGGCTGGACCTGGAGCCGGAGGAGGAGATCCCAGCCCTCCTGGGGGGCACCGCCATGGAGCTCTTCTTCTCGCTCTACCCTGCGGACGAGGCTGGCGGGTGCCCGCTGGAGGACCAGGGCAGGTGGGAGAACAACATCCACTCAGGCCACGAGGGGCCCCTGCCTGCGGCCCCTGCCCGCGAGCGCATCGGCAGCGTGGTGGTTTACCCCACACAGGACGACCTGCGCTGGTCCCTGCTGAGCCTGGACCACAACATTGCTCTCTCCGTCCCCCTGAACCTCATCCGCGAAGGCGACGCGGCCACCTTCCTGGTCTCCCTGGCGAGCGGCTCTGCGTCAGACCAGTTCACTCTTCGGTAAGCCGTGTTGCTGGGGTGGGGGAGCCGCGACTGATGGGCTGCGGACTGCGGAAGCCCTGCGGATCGCTGTCTGAGCGCCTGCCGGACCGGATGCCGTGGTGTTTGACAGAGTGGCGAGGACAGGCTTTGTCCAGGGGAGCACAGAGCTGAGCTCCATTCTGTGCACAGGGCTTGGGCAATCTGCAGGGACCATGATGGAGGGAGGTGGCAGGACTCGGCCGAGAAATGGCTGAGCCCTGGGGTCGGGCAATGCTATCTGTACCTGCTGCCCGCCGGCAATGACCTCATTGAGGCTCTGCCCTCCCACGGAGACCGGGACGTTCTTCCTGGTGGCTCTGGTGACTTCTCAGCTCTGCTGATGCACTACGAGGGTGGCCGCTGTGAGATGTGTGACTGGGTTCCAATAAAACTTTATTTATAAAAGCAGGCAGAAGGCTGACCTCAGCTGCGGCCATAGCTGCCCAACCCCGGGCCGGCGGATCCAGTTCAGGCCTGAGCCGTAGACTGCAGAGTGTGCAGGGGGCAGAGGCGGTAGCATCTTGAATGGGACCTTGAGGGGTGGTGCAATTTGGGGATGGAGGAAGGAATGATTCCAAGGCCAGGGGACAAGCAGGTGTGTGAGGGGCAAGAATGTCATCCACAGCAGTATTCATTAGGGGACCGAGGAGGAGGAGAGGGCATAGATCCCTGATCTGTGGGATCAGGGAGCGGTGGTCCGCTTCAGGTGGGTGATCAGGGATGACCTCAACGCGATGAAGCTCGGCCTGGATGCAGTCCCGCTGTCACACGCCGCAGCAGTCTGTGATACTCTGACCCTGTCCCGCCGAGGATGCCTGGTGAATCCTGCAGCACGCCCAGGGACCTGCTGGGTGATTTCCTGTTTCAGCTGTGCACAGGCGCTCTGCTCTCAGGGATGATGTCTTCCTCCTCAGCGAGCCCTTGGCTGAAGGGACTCAGCAGCCCCTCCCTGTGTGACAAAGACTCAGTTTCAGGACTGACAAAAGTGGAGGAACTGCTCTGTGCGGGGGCCAGCCTGACTCTGCCTTACTTAGCTCACAGAGGTGTCTGGGTAGCAGGAAGGTGTTGCGGTGACAGACCAGCTGTGTGGCTGCTCTGGGTGTCAGTCTGCACAGCAGTGAGACAGGATGGACGCTGGGCTCTGTCCCCGGGATGCTGTGGAGTTAGGAGATAGACCGGGCCCGGCACATTGTGGAAACCCAGCATATGTGGGCTTGCTTTGCGGGTGCAGTCAGAAGTGAGGGTTCCCCACAAGCCCAGCATGGTTGTGATGCTGCATGGGCGATGGGCTGGACCTCGCCACAAGGACACGGAGGCTCTGGCAGACCCCAGTGGGTTCTGTGTCTTGCAGGAAGCCAGGATCCTCTCGAGGCCCTTGAGTTAGTCTTATGATTGCTGATCTAAAGCCTGGTGTGAGCTCCTGTTCTCTGAGGTCACTCCAGGGGAGGAGCTGGGCTCTCAGAGAAACGGGGGAGCCTGAGTCCAGCCCCACAGAGAGTCTTCAGTATGAGGTAGTGTCACACACATGTCACATACTTGCCTGAACCTGCCACCCAGCAGGTCCTCTGCCATTCAGACATTACCAGTTGACTGCAGCACTCCCTCATTCCCCCTGCCAGGGCAGGCCTTATTGACCGACTCTAGGGCTCCAACACTTCCTCTGCCATGGTAGGCATCACGAATCAGCTACAGCACATCAGTGTTCCCTCGACCGTGGAAGACACTGCCAGTTGACTGCAACATTTACCAGGCCCTCTGCCATGGCAGACATTAACAGTTGACTGCGGCACCCCAGAACTCTGCCTTGGTTACCTAAAGCCCACCCCTGCAGGTAGCCCTCACCAATCCACGTGGGGGATTGACACATAAGACTAAACTTGTTTTCCATCTTGGTGTAGAGAGAAGATTGCTGGGTGAAATGGTAGAGGAAAGGGAGGGAAGCCAGCCAGTCTGGTGGATAGGGAGTCATGGATCTTGTTTGGAAAAGCGTCTTAGGCCAGGGGAATGGCACACACAGCGGTGGTTGTCTTTCGTCGAGGATTTAAAATGGTCCAGCCCTCATTGTAAATTTTTTTGCAGGAACTCACTAAACTCTTTACAAGCAACTCCTGGCACAAGTGCTACTATTATCTCCATTTTCTTGAGGCACAGAGAGGTTAAGCAGCTCACCTGGGGCTGCACAGCTGGCAATGGTGGGTGTGAACCCCACTCATGTGGCACAAGAGCCTCGGTCCTTCAGCCCCACCGCCCTCTGCCTCTCCCAGACCTCGGGGGACACCAGCTGCTGCCCTGGCCAGTAAGGTTCCTGCAGGGAGAGTGAGGATGAACACTGCAGGATGAACTCACAGGACGCAGAGCCCAGGTGGCAGGGGGCCTGTGGCCTGGCCTCCCTGGTGAGCAGCAACCCCTCCATGCTTCCCTTTTTCCTTAGAAGTTGATTTTGGAGCCACTGTGGACTCTAAGACCAGCGGTTCCCGGGAGCGATGGCCTGTGGGTTTGGGGTCTGCAGCCTGCTGGCCCAGCAGCCTCTTCCTCCGGGTCCTTCCCTGGGTTCCGGAGCTCAGAGAGGAGCAGGCGCAGGATAGAGGGCGGCGGCTCAGCCAAAGGCAGCCTGTGCGCCTGAGCACCGGTGGCCCCGCAGGACCTGGGGTGCCCCAGAGGAGAGTGCAGGCTCCCAGCGGGTGACTTCTTTAAGGCCTCTGCTTTTTAAAGAGAGAGGTAGCGCTGTCCTCTGGGAAAGATGTGAAGATCTAGCACCGCCATGGCGAACCTTTTAGAGACGAGCACTCAGACGAAACCCAGACGCACTTGTTTATCGCAAAGCGCCAACACCACAATTCAACTCAAATACCGAGGTTTTAGTTTAGGAAGAACAGCTCTACATTTACATCTTTTGCTTACAAAATGAAACAAACTAAAACAGGTCTAGATTGCCACCACTGATCCAGCGACTCGGCCACAGCTGGCCCTGGTTAGATGCGTCCGGCGCTGCCCACTTCACCCCAGGCCCCGCCCACGCCACCCCCTTGCTATTACGCATCTGGCTCCCAGGCGCTTGAGTTGTGAACCCTGATACAGAGTGGGCAGTAAAGGGTGAACAGCGCTGGAGGAGGGGCTGGATCCGAACCTGTGGAGCTGGGCCTCGAGTGCGTGTGTGTTCAGAGTGACCGGAAGCCGAGCAGGGAGGAAGCCGCTGGCGTTGTGGAGCAGACTGCCTGGGTCACGCGGAGCGCAGCAGAGGGCGCGTGGCAAGCGAGGGGGGTGCTCAGGCTGTGTTCCGGGTCGCTGCTGTGCGTGACTGACGCAACTCATTTAGATTCCTGCATGTACTCCGGCCGCCCTCACCCCGTACACACACGCTCCGACCCCAGAACAAGGGACTGTTTTTAAGTCTGTTTCCTGTCCTCAGGTGCCCCATGTGAGGCTGGACTCTGGGAGGTGGTGGGCGGGGTGTGGCCCCCCCTGTGAGTCGCCCAGTGTTAACCCTCCCGGGGGATTTTTTTTTTTTTTTTTTTTTTTTTTTTTTTTTTTTTTTTTTTTTTTTTTTTTTTTTTTTTTTTTTTTTGGAGACAGGGTTTCACTATGTAGTTGAGACTGACCTGTAACTCACTGTGTAGCCCAGGCTGGTCTCGAACTCACCGCGATCTTCCTGCCTCAGCCTCCCGAGTGCTGGGATTGCAGGCATGCGGCACCACGCCCAGCCCCCTCCTGGGGTTTGCTTGTCTGATTGGCACCATCAGGGCGGGTGCTGTGTTTGGCTCCTGGATGCTTTTTTTTTTTCTCTCTTGGCGAGGTCTCCCTTCCCAGTTCAGGCTGGCCTTGAACTTGCAGAGATCCTCCAGCCTCAACCTCCTGAGTGCTGGGATTATAGGTGAGCACCACTGCACCTGGCTTAATTTTCCTTTTTTTTTTTTGGTACAGGGGATTTGAACCCGGGTCCTTGTGATTTTGAGGCAGGCACCAGAACTACTGAGCTGTATCCCCAGCTTGGATGCTTTGTTTTGCTCTGTTTAATGGCCAGAGGAAAATCCATTGAGACTGCGGAAGTAACTGAACAAGTGGCGCTGTCTCTTCTGAGTGAGAGATGGGGACACCGTCTGTCTTTGTATCGGTCAGGGACAGCAAGGTGGGTGGGGCAGGGGGCACGGGAGCAGAGGGGAGCGGCAGGAAGGCTGGGGTGCAGACGGCTGGGCAGGTGAGGAGCACTCAGCCTCTGCCGGGGGAGCCCCAGAAACAGAGGCCTAGACTCTGGAAGCTGTGGGGCACTGGGCTAGCTCTGGCCATCCAGGGTCATTGCCCCAGGCGGAGGTTGGGCCTGAGGTCCTAGTCACTGTGCTGTGAGGTGTGTTGCACCTGGTTGGCCTCCCTTCCTATGTCCAGACTCCCAAAATAAAATTGTTTTCGGCCTGGGGAAATGTGTTACTTCACCTCGTGAAGTGATCATCTTTATGAATGAGATGTGACCTGTTTCACTCTGGCTCTGGATCAGAGTGCATGTGCATAGGCCTTGCCCGTCTACTCTCAGCCTGGAGGTGTCAGGGAAGGGACAGACGGCTGCTGTGATCTCAAACTGGCTGTGGGGGGGGGGCGGTATGCACAAAAGCTGACTCCATTGCTCCCTGTCTCTGGGCCATCTAAACCTCCGCAGCTCTAGCAGCCTTTCAGCACAGGGCCGTGACCATGACTGGGGGGAGCTGGGGCTGCTGGGGCAACCAGGCTGCACTCAGGGTGGCCTTTATTGCACGTGGGCCGAGGAGCTAGAAAGGTGATGAGTCTGCCCCCCTCCAAATACTGTACCTGAGGCTGAGTCCGGGCCACGGCCGGCAGTGCGTCCCAGGAGTTGAAGAGGTGGACTCTGAAGGCCAGGTGTGAATCCTGGCTCTGCACATCCCAGCTAGGGAGAGTTACTGATTTCTGCATGCCTCAGCGTCCCCATCTGGTAAGTGGTTCAGCCCTGCAATGTGCAGTGGTCACTCAGG